GGGGGGGGAGAACCGCGTTTTCTTTTCCTCTCTCCCCTCCCGCCGCTCTCCACGCTCTCCGTCCGTCGCCGACTGACTTCCACTCTTCGCGCTTCTTCTCCGCAGCTGCTCCTCGTGTGGCTCTCCTCTTCCGCCGCTCCTCCTTCTCCACCGCGTCTAAGGAGAGGAGGGGAAACGACACGCACACCCGGGACAACCCGATTAACGACGCACTATCAGCCGCGCACGAAAATACACGCGAGGATATCACGATCACGTCCGTGTCTCCCCTCGTCCCACCTCGTGGCGGTCGCGATCCGACGGAGACGACGAATTCTCGGGGCGACTCCTTCCTCGACCACCTCAACCGTCGTTAAGGCGTGCGCGCGCGCGCGCGCGCGCGGTAAACCCTCACGTCCCGTAGTACCAATTTACCAAGAGTACTTACTACTTCGGACGCGCGCGACGAACAACTCGACACAACCGTGATCGAGATCGCGCGCGAGCAATTGGACCGATCGACCAGTCTTTCTCGTTCTTCAATCGCCGATCGTCGCGACGCGAAAACGCGTTAACACAATTGCGACGCGGACGCGACCGCGACGTAACGCGCGTAAAATTCGTGCGAGTCCCCGCGATCGCCGGGTAACGTGGCCGCCGGATGTTCCAGCAAAAGGCGACGGGACTCTCGCCACGACACAAACACTCGCGCGCGACACCTCTCTTTCTTTTTCTTTCTCTTTCTTCTTCTCTCTTCTTCTCGTGGGCCGCGCGCGGGTTCACGCCTAGCCAACCGAACAGACGATCGTGTCTATCTTGTAAAGGTCATGTGTACGCCGAGCTCCGCAGTTGTAAACAAGATGTACGCAGGCGCTGAGCGCGAGCGCGCGAGCGCGAATGGCGGCGGCTCCGATATACGCCGCTACGCGATTGTGCGCGATTGTGCGCGATTGTAAATACGACCGAAGCGCGCGCGCGCGCGCGCGCGGTACGTGCGTCGTGTTTATTACGTACACACGAGCGCGACGGCGCGGCGACGCGGCGCAGTGGCGTAACAATCGTGTCAACGGACGGACGGACGCCGCAATGCGGAAGAACCTTGCGGGGATCCGATCTTCAGGAATACATATAACGCGCGCGCGACGGCGCCGACGATAAATAAAAAGCGTGTGAACCTCGACTCCGTCAAGAGCAGTCGAGAGGATAATCTACGTATCTACGACAATCTACGTTCTACGTCCCGCCGAAAGGCGGAGGCGCGTCGGTCAGGATCGACCGGGAACGCGCCGGAACGAGAATCGATACCCCGGCCTCGCCGCGAAGGCTGAAACTTGGCGCGCGCGAATCCCGCGAATTACAATGTTTCGTAATTCTGGAGCACGCGGTCTGATTGCTTCAAGGATGTGTCAATGATCTGTTCCAGAACTTACAGTATCCCGATTTTGTAACTTTTAACGACAGTTCGATATCATTACATTATTATTGCGCAGTTTTTTTTTATCATGTCACAATATAACGATATCAACACTGTCGTTAAGAATTACAAAATCCGGTACTAGATTGTGCCGCATATTTCAAAGAATTCCATGGAATTGTGTTTTTAAGTTTACGCGAATCTTTCTCATGTAAACAATACAAGCAATGCAAAATACGTAAATTATTTAAATTGGATAATACGATAAAGAAAAAAATATTAAGTTTTATGATTGTTAATGCGTATCTAATTTTAGTTATACTACACTGCGGGCAAAAAAAAATGTACGTTTTATTAAATTTTAATAAAGATTCGCGAATAGTACTAACTTCACATTTACTTATGGTAAATAAATATTTATTAAATAAAAGTGATAATTAGACCAATTAGTGATTCTCGTACCAAATAGATATATGTTTACATTTAATAAATATTCAGCTCGTACTATTCAAATATTTATTAAAATTTAGTATATTTTTAAGAAACTTCAATGCAATGATCAAGAACGTATAATTACTTCGATGATCTATAGGTTATTTGCATAGATGACACAAAATATAATTTACATTGCGTATACATAAATAGTATATTTTTATGTATAAACGTACAATCCTAATGGCTCCACGGGTCGATCTGTCCTTTCTAACTAAACTTCTCGAATGATTCAATTTTCCTCTTTATCTGTTCATGTTACGAAAGAGGGAAAAACAAGCAGATTAGCTAAAAAGAATGGATCTATGATTACCGCGATTACGTGCTTATACCTATCTACCTGGTTCTCTCTCGAGATTTTTTTTACATGGTTCGTTTTATCTTCTACGAAAAAGAGGAAAGAGATGAACCGTGTAAGAAGTTCAATTAAAAAGAACAGGCCTATATAATTATTGCGATTACGTGCTCATACTTGCCTACCTGATTCCCTCTCAAGAAGCCTGTGCTTTTTAGTTCAATTTCTTACACGGTTCATATTTTTTTCTTTTTTTTTTCAACGTTAGTAGAAAAAGGGGATGAACCGTGCAAAAGGGTTCAATTAAACTCGGACAACATACGTGTCTAAAAAAAACATTATAAAGATGTTTTGGGACATGTCTAAAACATATTTAAAAGACATTATGAAGACGTTTTTTAGACATTGCGTCTTGTTCGGGAAAAAAAGGGCCTGCATTTAAAAAAATATCTATATAATAAAATAATACATAAAAATATATAACGAAAATATATACTATAGCATATGTTACGTACATTATAAATTTCCCTAGTACTTTCGCATATACGATATTTTTCTAAAATAAGGCCCCAAATTTATCAGGCACGTTAGATCTAGTGATGGACGCGATGCTGAAATGTGCTCGTATGTTACAAATCGAACAAGCGCAATCCGATGTTTCACATACGGGACGCTAGTCATATTTTTTCATATACTTTCCCCGAAACGAAATGATCAGTTAAATTTGAATGAATTTGTAAACCATATATAATATTTATAATATAAAAATGAATACGTACGTGTATTTATTGAGTTGCATGTATCTGAAAAATTCAACTTAGCGCGTGAAAATTTCGCTGAAAACAATTTTTATAAATTGCTGTAAGATAGAGAAACGAATTATATACTTTAACATGGTGTTCAGTAAAATCTGGCTAGTCAATTCAAGGATAATTCCACATTCCAGGTAAAAATCTAAGTTTTTCCAGGATCCATCAATTATCATTATTTAATTGATTTTCATCGATTTGCACAATATTATATGCTTTGTTTTCAAGTTAAGATTCTATACGAATGAATTGAAACACTAACAAATTTGAAATAATATCATTTATTGCTTTATAAATAATATTAAATGAACATTCCGTCAACACAAACGATTTTTCTATGTTCTAATTTTAGATATTAAATTTAAGTTTTTTATTGGTAACTTATTGTTTCTCTTTTAAGAGAAGAGGAAGTTAGTTTTATATCCAAACACACAAATTTCTTTTCATTATTTCTTTCTTTTTTCACCATGGTTATATTTTTTTTAATAAAAAGAACGAAAAATTCCGGGCCAGTCCTGAAATTTCAAGGGTTTTCCAGGAATTTTCCAGATTACATAAATTTGTAGTATAATTCCAGAATTCAAGAATATTCAAGAACCACTGAACACCATGTTTAATTAACTTGTAATTAATGTGCATAAATCAATGAATAATTTGTGATAGTCAATCTTACAAGGATTCATTATAGCTTTTCAAACAAATAATACAAGTGTTGCAAAAGTTAAAATGGTGAAATTTTTCCTTTAATGGAACATGAAATTTTATTTGGTCATTTTCTATAATCTAATTCCTTCAATTCTTCTAATTTCTAAAATTTCTCAATTTTGAAAACTTGTCAGAATAGATTAATTATATTAATTTAAATTTTATATGTGAACACTATGTATATAGGATGGGGTATTTAAAGTATTACAAGATACTATCTAAAAAATTGTGTATCACACATGCACGCACGCATGCGCGTGCACACACACACAAAATTTAAAAATATATTCAGGCGAAAGTTGTATAAGAGGAACGAATTATAATAAAATTAATTTTTTTAAAAGCGATTTTTTAAGATTTGGAGATAGTCTCCGTTTGTGTATATATGTATGCGTAATTTTTTTTACATAATTACCCTATTCTGCGAAAAATGCAGTTAAGATAGAAATTAATATGCACAGAATGAGATGAATCAATTGGTATAAAGAAAACATAATTTTTTTTAAAATATGTAATTACATAGCTTGTGTGTTAACACTATAAATGCCCTTTGTAATACTAAAGTCTATTAAATAATATTAAAACATTCACATACGCCGTATTTCCTTTTTTCAGTTGAATCTTGTGTCTTAATGTTTCTTTTTATAGTAAAAAAAGAAATAAAAATATTTTTCATAATATTGGTAGTTATATGTTGAACTGTGACAAAATCTGTCATTCAATCTGTAATTTTCAAATTTAGATCAGATGCTATGAATAAACGTATATTAAAATAAAAAGTAATGAATCTGACTTCTTATCATAAACAAGACTTTTTTTACGAATTTAGTAATAATAGAAATAAAATCGAGAACAATTGAATACTTTATACTAAAGAAATGTAAATAAAGATTGATGCTAATTAGAACATGTACAAGCCATTAAATGGACTGATATAGGAATAGCATAATTATCTCAAAAATATAGATTTTTTTCTCTAGATATATAAAATTGTATTTACATACAGTAGACCACAGACAATAGCTTTAGAAAAATTTGGCAAAATGATCTACATTATTTTTCTATAAAAAAAATATATATATAGAATATATACTTATAGAATATAATTACACCTTATTTACCTTCTCAGCCGATAGGTAATTAACGATCTATAATAATCTAGTATTACAAATCTTATCTTTAAAAAAATAAAATAATTATGATATTGAATGAATAGTAAATAAAATGTAATAACGAATATTAAAAGCCATTTTGCATCTTATAAAAATATTACATTTTAGCATCCACTGAGCGTAAACAATACAAGATTTCTATGTAAAAATACATAACAGATGTGTTCTTATCACAATGTATTGAACTGTACACACGGGGACATAAATGCCTAGCCATCCGAAGTTACACGTGCATTAGAGAAGACACAAGAAGGAATGAGAAAGCAAGAGAAGGAACGAAAAGTCATAAAAAATCATGGCCAGGCATTTGTATCCTCGTACATACGTACAAACAAATTTTCAAAACTATATTAAAATATAACATTTACTTAAATTATCAAATAATTTTACTATTGCTATAAATAATAAAATTATCAAATAATTTTATTATTACTATGTTACGTTTATTACTATTGTAACGTCATGTTTCATTGCCTGAAAATAAAAAAATATTGAAACTAAATCACTTTTACTTAAAGTAAATCAATCGCTCTCGAGAATAGACACAGGCTGTATTTTTAATAACTTTTATTTTAACATTATTCGCTAATAATTTTGTAAAGATTTTGAGAAGACTATGAAAATAAGAAATTTTTTAAATTTGTCTTAATTCTACGTAAATTATAAGTAATACAAACCATGTGTGTGTATCTTAAATAGAGCCTTGATCAAAAATATTAGATACCTATATTTTTTTCATAAATGTAAAATTCTTTTATTTATTATTTCCTATTAATTACCGACATTATACATAAGAGTATTTGAAACAACGGATAAGTCACAGCAAATGGCAAAAATCAATTTTTGAATTTCAATGTTAAATAATGATTAATAAGTCAATATTTTTGACCAAAGCCGTATATAATGCATAATTATTTGGCACAAGTCTTTTTGTAACAAGAGATCTTAGTTTTATTGTATAATACAGTTAACAAGATGAAATTATATTTGAGTAACAAACTTGCGTTGGTATTTACTTACAACTATTTCTAGATTAATACAAACGCAAGAATCAACTGTATAACAAAAAATTAATTATGTAAGAGATTTTCCTTAGTGGAAATGGAAGATTTATATACACAAAGATAAGAGAATACTACAGATATACTATGTGATAAACAAAGCACTTTCCAAGTATTCTCTTGTCTTTATGTGTATATAAATCTTCCATTTCAATTATAATACTTTCATTATTGATGGCATTGATTTCTGCAGGATCACAATCAAATCATCCAATCAATCAATTCTTTCAACACACAGTCTTAAACGGTGAACCGTTATTTTATAATACTTTGTACGTCATTTAAAGAGAACAAAAAAAAATAGAAGGTGAGTGAGACAAAAGTAACATTAGATAATGATGAAGTTATAAATAGAACAAAATATCTGAAAAGGATCGGTGTGGCTCAGCTAGAAGATTTTGTCCCACCAGGTACACAAGTTTGTGTGCGTATTGACAAGGAGCTGGTACACGTATTGTACCGGGCCAATTATAGTATAAATGACAAAGTTTATATGTCAATCGTTGCATGTGATCTGTTTCCATATTTGATGAATCATGAATGACGATGTAATGTGTGGGTGTTACTGTACCCTGTCGCACATTTTGCGGCACGAGGAAAAAATCGTAATAATTTCGCCTTGTTATACACGAATCAACAATAGTTCCAGGTTCAGGATTGTTTAAACCATCCCTCTGCAAATTAAAATTGTCATTGTCAATTAAAAACTTATCATTAATGCAACACATTTCACGATTGTATCATATAAATTCTAGCTATACTCACTCCTTTGATGAATATCCGCGTGTTAATGCGTTTTTGAACTATAATTACACTAAGTTGCGGTTTGTAATTCGGGGCTATGCGATTAAACGTCGCTAACAATTGTTTTACCTCGTAATTTTCTACGTAATCTAAATCTCCATCACCAACCCCATCACGATATATAATTATACGCTCTGGATTACATCCGTTATGCTAACAACATATTTATCATTTTGATGAATCAATCAAAAGTTTATATTTAAAAGATGAATATTAATTACCTTGTGAAATGCATTAATAGCTGAAGTAAGGCACACTTGTAGCATATCAACTAGTTCTTGCTTAGAGGCTTGCATACAAATTCTACTGTGCCATTTAGTCAATTGACTATCTAAACTAGCAATAAATCCCGCAACACTTTTTCGTGAACCTCCTCCAACACCAGCATGATAAACGTCTATACCACATATCATACAATTTTTCTACAAGACAATAAAATTAATTGAATAAAATAAGACAAATACATAAATAAAATTATATACGATAAAATAGAAGTTTTCTATATACTAGTGGCAAAGCGAGAGTCCACAGTGCTCCTCCTAGTTTGCAATTGATTTGAAGTGCTATCTTTTCTGTGATACTTTTTAATTTAGGAGGCTTAGAAATTGTTTTCGAAATGATGACTTGTGATGGTATAGCTTTCTGTACACAACATAATCTGAAATGTAACAGAACAATAAAACATACTTTTCCAGACTTTATCTTCAATTATTGTTACATGAACGAATAAATTTCGAAAACGTATGTTTTCATATGTCTAAGGATCAAGATATACTCAATTTTTACATGTTTACATTGTATAACTTGTTGCAATATATTCACATGTGCAAGAAGGCAAATATCATATCATAAAAAAAAAGTTTTACTTTTTTATTGCCGAATAGCGATCAGTGCGGTTGGTTGGAAATACGATGACTAATAATTCGAGATTATCGGTGAGATTATTTTGAATTTCTCGTAGATAAGTTTCAGTTCTGTCATCTCTTAAAGTAATATGTTTTGGACTATTAATTCGCATATTGATTGCAGTTGCAACCTTTTCCAAATGTCCTAAGAAGTCCTTTACACAAGCTTTGTCCTTCATAGAGTATATAATATTCCACGTGGACAAATTAGGCTAAAACACAAGAGACACAAATGTGAAATAATAAAATGTTTTTATACAAGATGATTTTTACTATGTATAATTACGTATGTAGTTTTTAATTTTTAAATAATTGTTAGTCAATATACTTACAGTACGTAACACGGGATTTTTTACAGCAGCATTACTCCAGTCTGCTTTTTCATTCGTCTTATAAATTTTATTATTTCCAAAATGTATTGTTTCAGGCTCTAGACGTCTTGCAGTAAATTGAACTAAATCAGGGCTTAAACGCAAGCCCCATACTGCTAATATTTCTCGAGTTACATCATTCTTCTGGACTTCTTCTACAAACTGCCTGATCACATCTCGCCGTTGATTAGGCGACATTTTTGTTACTGCGCTTAGGTCTTTCATAACGTAATGATTATTACGAACACTATCGGTCAGACCGGCTGCATAGCTCAATTCCGGTATTAAATAAATCGTTCTTTCCTCTTTCTATTATATTTAAATGATTTTTTGCATAAGGAATTGTAAGTGATCATCAATATCATATCAATAGTAATATGCATGAATATCGTATTATATATATATATATATATATGCATCACAAACCTCGCCACTTGGTAATCTAGCTGTCTCACGATGTACTAAAAGAGGTTGTTGTAAATCTTGAATCTCGATATTCCAATTTTTCTGATAATAATCGATGTATGATATTTGTTCGCCGTTTTTAGAAAACGTGTTTGTTGGTGTTTTATTAAAATCGATGTCATCTATACGATATGTTTTATTATTATATCTCGTTAGTACACTTGTACCAACTATTTCGTTTATAACAGCATCTTGGTAATTATGATGTGATTTTTGGAAAATCTCTCTTCTAAAAAATGATTACATATAAAATAAATTTAGTTAACTAAAATATTCAATCGTGATAATATTCGTAAATTTCGTAATATTGGAAAACAAATCTCACATTAAATCTCGCACAGTATCTGTTCGCATCACTCGATGTTTCGCATCTAAACACAATTTTAAACCACCTTCGTATTCATGTACAGCAGTCACGTAACCAGGCCACACTTCTAATCGATGTTGAGGCAGAACGTGCGCGCCTTTTGGATTAAAATTTTGTCGACCAATAGGAACTAAGCAAAGCGCTCGCATCATACGATTAATCAAAATATTGAAAAATTGAACACTACTACTCATTGATTCTTTCTTTTTGAAAATGATTGTGAGAGTTACTGTTGAACCATCCATTGGATGTTCCGATTTATAGTGAAAAACCTGAAAATTTAACAATTATACATCATAATATTACGTACATTATATTAATATAGAAGTTATCTATCAGAGTTTTTAAACTCACATCTTGTGGCAATTTTAGTGGTACATAAAGTGACGCTCCGTCAAATGTTCTTCCTTTTCCTAATGCAGCAAAATGTTGATTAAGTAGTTTACGACGTAAGCCTATTGAATCAATATCAGGCGAAAATTTGACTTCGTATTGAAATCGACCTCTTCCATGCTCTAATGTCAAATCTATATAGTTAGCGCATGCTTTTACTCTATAAAGAAAAACAATCTTTATTAATTGTTGCTATTAATTATTATTTTAAATTATAATAATATATTCATCTCTCTCTTGTCATAAATGATAGTGATATTGTTTCAATTTTATCATAAATAAATAATCTACATATTTTTTAAACTTGTCTATATTGTGTAATTTGTAGAGATGGGTGAATTATTCAAATACGAATCGAATCGCATCTATACGATTAGAATCCAGATTAAAAAATTTCAAATCTAATTGTAAGAGATTTAAATATATAAATCACACATTAACACACTCACATACATATATACGTATGTATGTATAGAAAATTATTTCCCGCTACGTACAGTGTATAATCAATATTTCTCTTACATAGATTAAATTTACTTACTATATATTAAAATTCAACCTAACAATAAATATGTTGTTGATTAAACGTTGTTTTAATGATTCAATTCGATTTGATGTCAAAAAATCTTGATTCGTACATCTCTACTAATTTGACTAATTTAAATGTGCCGAAAATATTATCTAATATATCTCCAATTTGAAAATTTCTTACACCATGAATAACATATAAAATAATTATCGCACATGGAACCATATGGCAAATGTATAGAAACTTGCAATTATAATAATTCTTTGCACGACTGATAAATTTTCTAATCAATCTCATTAAAACGTCTCTCAACAGAGTTTTGTTCAAAATGTTCTACTTTTTTTGTTGGTGAATAATGAAACAAAAACAAAAAAGGCCATTTTTGGGAGTTAATTTTTTATTCACTCAGAGTAAAATAAGGATGGAAAAAATTGCTTATTACATCCAGACTTCTTGTGTATTGCCAATTTTATAATTTTCTAAATTTTTAAGTTGGGGCTATTGTCTTATAAGTCGAGAATGATCGTACTCTGTTAAAATGGTAAATTGTTAAGGGGATGCTGGAGTGACGG